CACCTGCTGCAGCAGGGAGCTAGACCCGGACTCTGAGCTGGTGAGTAGGGGGTGGGGCAGGGGAGGCTGGAGGAATGGGGAGGGGACCATGGGGGGATCCCTGCCAGGCCCCATACCCTGCCTGCTCTCCCAGCCCAAGCACCCCCTGACCCCTGCCCACCCTTCCAGCCCCACCCCAGGCTACCCTGCCTGGCCCCAGCTCCCAGTCCTTTTAAAAAAAGCCCCCACTCAGTGGGTGCTGGCTGGTGGGTGGTGATCCCTGCTATCCCCCATTGCCCCACGACACATGGGGGGCTCTGGCACAAGCCCCCCCGAACCCCCCTGCTCCCCCATGGCTGCCCTGCCCACCCCAGCTCTGGCCCTTTAAGAAAAACAAAACAAAACAGAAACTACACACTCCCCTGCTGCTGCAGAAGTCTTGGGGCTGCTGGGGGCATGGGTCAGTGGGGGACAGCGGGGATTGCCCCCCTAGCCAACAGGAGCCAGTGAGTGTGTATGTGTGTGTGGGGGGGGGGTTTCAAAGAGCTAGGAGCTGGGGTGGGCAAGGCAGCCACTGAGAGCAGGCAGGGCATGGGGCCTGTGTGATTCGGAAATTCGGTTGATTTGGATTCAGCCGAATCGATTCAGGACAGTGAAATGATTCAAGTCACCGAAACGAATCACTGTCCCCCAAATCAGCCGAATCTGAAGCGAATACTAGCCACTTTACATAGGCCTACCACACAGTAGCCTAATAACACTGCACAGTGGCATATTAGCACGCTTTTTGATTGGCACACTACTGCGCAGTGTTATTATGCTACTGTGTAGTATGTGCCTCGTGTAAACATGCCCAGTGTAACCTAAAAACAGGACTTCAAATTGCCTAAATTCTGCTCAGATCCCAGTGTAGGATCAGTCTGCTCCTGGAGACAGTCATCTCAGGAAAAAAAAACAACTCACTTTAAGAACTCTCTTATTAATTCATTCTTTTGGTGTTATATTCTACCTGATGCTTTTTCTCACATCTTACTTACAGAGGGAATTCAACATGCAGTAAGCTAGGTATGAATTTACAGTACATTGTGCATGTCTATACGTGCAATGAATGAGTCTGAATAGTAAACTAGAATTAGTAAACTAATCCTGATGTCACCGTCTACACATGCATTTAAGCACGGAAATTTACTATATTGTCAGATACTACTCATATCTACTGCATCCTAATTGCTGTGCATGTATAGAGTGTCACGTTTTACTGCACAGAAAATTAGTCTGCTGCACAGTAAAGCATCTCATGTAGACAAGCCCAATAGGTACCCATACTAGCTCACTGTACACTAAAGCAGACTCCTCTTTCTAAGGGGAAAAAACTATCTTGTACTTAGTTCATGCTTGCTATTTTGCCCTCACTTCCTACATAGACAGAGTGCAAGCGCTTACTCCCTTTGCTAAGAGGAGTTAGTTCCCTGCCCAAAGACACTCTTTCAGATAAGACTAAGGGAGACCACATGAGAAGTTAGTGGAGTTGTAAATTCACACCCTCATTTTCTGTTCATGGCTTCCAACTATAGACAGGCTCTGAGTTATCTGTGCTACCTTTTCTAACCAGTGCGTGTTTCTTATTGGATAGAAAGATAGATGGACAGAAAGGCTGACTATCTTTTCCCTTGCGGTTTTAATGATACAGATATTTGTACAGAGGGTAAAAAAAGGCCTTTGTGTCCTGTTATTGGCTCATGCTGCTGACTCCTCATACTACCCCATGGCACCTCCATAAGGTACCATCATCGCTTCCACAGTTAACCATAGTCAGTGTCACAAGCATAAAATCATGGCTAATGTCAGAAATAAACAACTGCTCTATAACTATATATAACTATAACTATATATATAAACTATATATCTCTAATATTATAAAAGCCTTACTCTGTCTGTCTGTCTGTAACACTTTATTAGCATTTGATTGTTGTCTTGGCAGCCAATCAAAGAGCATTCTGGACAGGCGGCAGCAGTGCGGCGGAGCGCTACCATGACAGTGGGGACGGAGCGGGGGGGTGCTCCGGCCCCTTGGTCCCCACTGTCATGTTCCCTCTCAGTCATGCTCCCCCCTGTCATGCTCTGGCCCCTCAGTCCTCACTGTCATTGCAGAGCTGTCCCCTCCCTGGCTCTGCTCCTTGGAGGCAGAGGGGGATGGAGATGTGGCAGAGGGGAAGGAGGGAGTGAGGGGGAACAGGGCTGGATGTGGGGCTTTGTTATCCCTCGCACCCCCATGACAGTGGGGACTGAGGGGCAGGAGTGGATGTGCTGGACGTGGGGTGTCGGGGAGGGCACAGGGGGCCGGAGGTGAATCTAGCCTCAGCGCCGCATCCAACAGCACCCTGTGGCAATGCAGCACTGGCCTCACCCCCTGCCCCGCTCAGGCGCATGCAGGGGGTAGGGGAGGGGCATGGGGTCAGAGGCGGAGTGGTAGCACGTCAGGCCACTGGGCGTTAGTGCTCCATTTCTGCCCCCCCCCCCCCCCCCACCCCGCCCTCTGTCAGTCATGACGGCCAATGGCGGGGACAGACTGGGATGGCAGCACAGGGCAATGGGTGATGGTGCTCCCCCCCTTACCCGTCCCCCTCTCCCCCTCTGTCCCTGTCATTCTTGATGGGCAATTGGCTAGTGTGTGTGTATACACACACACACACACACACACACACAAAATACATATCATGACCAATCTTGTTTTCATAAATTAAGATTTTTAAATAACGTAGTCACTCAATTAAATCTACACTGGAAATTGGGTGAAACATCCTCTTAGCTCTCTGGGAATTCCACTGTCAGCTGATTTCAAGCCATCTTCCTTAGTGATGCTATGTAAGTTAACAGCCTCAGATGTAAATTAACAGTGTAAGAGTCTTGTGCATCTCTCACCCCAGGAATAAGTGTTTTGAGTTGTGGGGCCTGCAAAAATTTTTGTAACAATCAAAATGAAAGCAAAGATTTCCGCCCCCCACACACACTTAGCACAAGATACGGGAAGTTGTGGAAAGATGGGCATGAAGTTATCTGTGTATTTCTTCAACAGCATCAGATACTGAACATTATCCTTCAAAGATACAGGCCTTAAGGAAATAGAGTAGGGGTGCACTGATAAAGATTTTTTTAGTCTGATACTGATGGCCAATTTTTAATGAGCCATATCGGCCAATGCCAATCTGATTGCCGATATGCGTCCTGGCAGCTTGGAGAGCAGCGTCTGGATGGTAAGTCTGTTGGAGGGAGAAGGGAAGGGGGGGAGGGAAGGGGCATGGGGGGGATGTGATGATGGTGGAGAGGGGCTGGGGCAGGGGCAAGTGCTGCCAAATTGGGGTGAGGCATGGGATGGAGCCATGAGTGACTCATCCAGGGGGTGCAGGGAAGGAGGGAGCAGCTCCTACCTCTGCGCACACCCCTGGGGGAGGCATACAGGGGCATGTGCACCCTGGATCTGTGTTCAGGGCACGGGGGTGCTGCTGCTGTGGGCTGGGGCCAAGGGCAGTGCTGGGCTCTTGCCAGTGGGGGGTTTGGGCTGGGGCTGTGCTTGGGGTTGGCAGTGATAGCACTGGGAGGTGGGGGTCTACAAAGGGCCCCCCCCTCCCAGTACCACTGCCAGCCCCAGCCCAACCCCCTCCCTGGTGGGAAGAGCCTGGCACTGCCCCTGGCCCCAGCCTGCAGTGGCAGCCTGCCTTTGCCCCGCTCACAGAACTGAAGGGCATGTGCCCCCCATACCTTCCCCAGGGGTGTGTGCATCAGTGGGAGCTGCCCCACTCCCACCCCGCCAGATAACCTGCTTGCAGTTCTGTCTTGTGCCCTGCCCTGGCTGGGCTGGGCTGGGCCAGGCATTGCCTGCCCCTACCCCAGCTCCGCACCCTCCCTCACAACAGGGGCCTTGATCTGCCCCTCCCACGCCCCTTCCCTCCCTCTGCCCCTTCCCCCCCACAACAGACTTACCAGCTGGACTCTGCCCTCCAAGCTGCTGGACTGCCCAAGTGCATGCTGTGGCTGTGCACATACACAAGCATGTGTATGTGCACAATGACATTATCGGCCAAATCAGCCAAAAAATGCCAATTGTCAATAATGTCAATTTTCCTTTTATCAGTGCCAATACGATATGGACCGATGTACTGGTGCATCTCTGAAACAGTCTTCCACCTCCAGACTGAAGTAGAATGAGTTTCAGTCACAAGTGGAATACCTTATCTATACAGAAGTTCATCACTTTGATCTACCTGTCAGGCAATCTGGAAAAAGCAGTCAGGGGAAGACCACCTGTAGACATGAATTAATCACCTATTTCCAACCAACTCAGCCATCTAAACAATACCTTTTTTTAAAAAGTGCTATTTATACTAGGCAAAATGCAACCTTGCCCAGATATACATACTGCAGTGATTTCATAGTACCCTTCTAGTCATTGAGGGAAGATGGTATTTTATAGCCTGCTATTTATTAATTTGTTTCTTGAAGAAGAAAATTACTGCAAATATGAAATGCAAGTGCCACTAGGGTTGTGAATCAAATGCAGCTTCCACAGTCCTGTAACTTAATATTCTTATAATTCCCTTCTAGCAGTGAGGTGTCTTCAAGATAAAGCATATGTACAGAGAGAACTAGCTTACTTACGTCCTATGTAAGCCATGTATTAGCTTAACATGCAAAGAGAATGCTGGGGAATTAGCATGAGAAAGGCTGCTTCTGTAACTCAGGAAACACCAGCAATCTCATGAGAAAGCCTGAGATTCCCCTTCATTTCAAGTTTAATTCCCAGACCAGAGAGGCTCAGGGAAGTAAGCAAACATTAGGGCTCTTATCTTAACTGAACCTAGTAAATATATCACCCAAGTTTTCACACTGTAATATTTTGCTTTTCCCCTAAATGTAAAACTAACCTATATTTGTTAAACTGATTAGGTGAACATAGCAACCTGATAATTGCCAAAGCCATAAAACTTAACACATCATGATGGCTTAATGGAACAGAAGCATACCTGTTCATTAATGTGACACACAGCTAGATTTTGTTCATCGCAGGAACAGGCCACTCGGATGTACTTCAGCCAGTTTCCAGTTCCAGTCTGGTTAGCATCAACACAGAATTTCTCATTCCCCAGGTCATCAGTGGTCTGCAGAGGAAATAGGAGGCAGAAGAATTATTTTTGTCACGTGATAAGAAATGACTAGGATGGAAATCAGCAAGTAAGAAATGCACTTTTATAATCATTTACATTGCAGGACCCCAAAACTGGATATAAAGAGATCCTTGGTCAAAAACAACCTCCAGTGACTTCAGTCAGAGATTTGGCAGAATAAGGAGCTCACAATCAGACCCACAGTGAACAAGAAAAGTATCGTTCCAGTATCCATATTGCGAATCCAAAGAATTAGCAAATTCTCTGACCTGTTTCTGTTAATGGTCTAGCTAGTTTTATGGTTCCTTCTCCATATTATCTATTTCTGACTGGATTCAACAAAGATTGCAACACTTCATTTGCTACCATAAATAAAACCAGACAGTTAGCTCTTCAGCAATCAGGGTCAATTGGTTACATTTCCTTCAGGTTTCAAAATTAAATAAATATATATCAAGTTTAACTTTTATTCTCAGTTGCATACAGGCAGCCACTGATAAAGTTAAAGGAACCAGTGGAGCTGCATAGGTCTAAGTGAGGTAGAATTTGATCAGCTGCATGTAAGATATAACCTTCAGAACAGAAACCATCACAAATACTTAAATGTCCAAGTATGAAAAAAATAGAGTGGGTTGTGACAAAAAAGTTTTTCAAATAAAAAAAATGAAATAAAAAAAAAACAACTTACAACTTTGGCTTTCTTAAAACAGGAAAGAACAGTTTGACAATGTAGCATTAAAGAGACACCTGGCATTTCACACCAAGTTATTTGAAAGCTTGTTTTTTTCCTGCATTTCACTGAAGATAAGATTAATGAAATTATACAGAACTATTATTTCTTGGGGAGGAAAAAGGAACTAAGTCAGGGCAGTCATATTCTTATGGCAATTTTAATTGTCACTCCTGTCAAGCACCAGACCTCTCCAGTGCCCATTACCATTAAAGACGCTCTGTTTTCTGACCAAAATACTCCCTAGCTCACATCAGACAAAGTATCACTGCAACTTATTTCAGCCATCCAAGGATCTCAAAGTGCTTTTCAAGCATTTAATCTGAGTCGCTCAGGCTGCTCTTGAACATGATCAGATGTTCCTCAATTGGGATGTAGGGTTAGGAGGGGAGGGTGGAAATTTTTAGCAACAGTGAAAGTGATGTCAAAGCAGTACCAGGAGCAGGAACTTGGAGCATATGGAGTTTTACCCTGAAGAGAATCTGCAGCCATGAATCCTGTCCCCCTGTCTGTGGCTCCAAGTATTTCTCTGCATTTTTTTAACTGATCTGTATTGAACACTGAAAACCAGGGAATTAGCGTCTGGCTTCACCTTTCCTATAACAACTCAGCAGTGAAGCTTTAGTGGAATGTTTCTCCTTCTTCCAGAATATGTGCATGCATGGGAAAGAAATAATGGGAGGAACCAGCTGTACTTATGTGGCACTTTCTTAAACTCCTCCCTGGGTAAAATGCAAATTGTTGCTTATGAATGGTTTAGCTGCACTGTCACAGTTCAGGGGCTTAGCCAAACAAGTCAGCCCTGCACTCAGACTACCTTTTGCTGCCCCTGTTACTTGACAAAAGTAAAGCGCCAGAGAACAAGAAACTAAATTAGAATAATGCACAAAACCCTCCTTAAAAAGGGTATTATTAAGAGTGCCAAGTCCAGCACTCAGAAGGTGCCTGAGAAGCCTTAGACTGGCCCCCTTGTGCACATGCATTATGATACAGGCTTCAATTACATGATCACAAATTATTAGTTCTGCAGCACCCCAACCTCATTAAGGACACACTTCATGAGCAGCTATGTTGTTTTTTCCTTAGGCCCCTGGCATACTTTTCACTTAAGATGTGATTCATCAGTTAATCACATCTTAAGCTGTAACCCAGTCACACATTAATGCAATTAATGGCATGATAAAACAAGAAGTAAACCACAAAGTTATTACACAAAAAATGTGTAATAACTTTGTGGCTGGTTCCTATCACTCCAGTAACTGGATTCATGGGCAGACTGGGGCTCCCAGGCCTGGGGGATGACCCTGCAGCTGGGATCCTCAGCCCCTGATCTGGGAGCTGTCAGATGATCTAGGCTCCCAGCCACAGGAGTACCCCCATGGCTGGGACACCTCTCAGCTGACATTGTGATCTTGGGCTCCCCCTGCTCTGGCAATTAGGTGTGATGGGATTTGAAGCATGATCCTACAACCATGCCTCCTGACATGCACATGTGGCATGGCAGGAAGAGCGACTGTGGGAATCCCATGGCGCCTTTACTTGCACGTCTGCCAGGGGCTTTAGAGTTTAATGGGTGCCCCCCTGCTTTATTTACCACAAAGTATTAACCCTGTTCTCCAGACAGAACTATGAACTGCCTCATGGGCTTTTCTATGCTGCTCATCACTACAGTAGCTGGTGTTTTACACATATTAAATCAACTTATTTTTACAACACACTTGTGGGATGAGGGACAAATGTTAAGTCCATACATTCGTCCCTCATTTTACAAATGGGGAACTAAGGTACAGAGACACTGAGGTGCAAAGCAGGCACTAAGCACTGCCCACTTGTCCTGATCGATGCACACCAGAGCCTGCACATTGGGAAGGACAGATGGTTCAGAAACAGCCATGAGTGCAGGCCCCAGGCTTTCTGACTGCTCCAAATTGATCAGGGCTATCCCCAAGCTGCCTGTATTGCCTAATTTGTAGGCTTGGGTGTGTACAGAGCAGGCTTAGGTGTGTACAGAGCAGGTATATGTAGCTTGGCCTTATTTCTGGGTGCTGGTCCCCAGAAATGCTCCTTAAGCACTAGGGAGATGCCGTGGATATCTGAAGTGCAACTCTAGCTGACTTTACTCTCAGCTGTAAGTGCTCAGCACTTCTTCAAAACAGATGCCAGGTTTTCCAGTCCAACACCTAGAAAATGAAGGACACAGAATCACTTCTAGAAAGTTTGTCTTAAGTGACTTGCCCAGCACCACGTGGGAACACCCTGTGAGAGAATCCTACGTTCCAGTGGCATTTCCTTGCCTCAGTCCTGCAACCCGCCCTTTTCTCCCTGAAGCCCCCTGCCTCGCTTAGTCCACACCTGGTTTCTGCAGCAAACGAAGCACAGGTGCAACAGAGAAGTGTCCCTTGCTGCACAGCCCTGATTCATTCCCAAAGCAGAGCCATCCTCCACATTGGCTGAAGGGGAACTGCCATGTTAAAAATAGCACCTGCTCTTACAATTAAAGACAGCATGTGCAGATGGGGTGTAGGAAAGCAGCAAACGAAGGTTGCACAGACTGGCATTTCCTAGCTTTGCAGTGCCTTATGTTGCAACCCTACTAGAGCACCTTCCACGTGGCTTTGCTTTATGCAGGTTTTGTTTTTTTACTTTAAAAAAAGCTATCCAAACCAAGAAGAACTCCATTAAGTGGTATCATTCCGACACCCACATGACTTATCAGCATAGCAGGATCTAACACCTTTGCTGCTGAGTGAATAGAAAACAGAAGTACAATATTGTCCTCTCTGTGGCCCAGTGACACTTTGGTTGCTAGTCTGGAAGGAATAAGGGCAGTGGAGGGGAGTGTGCACGAAGGGGCACAGATCACCTCATTTTCCCCAAAGCTGAACTCCTCTGAGCCATTCCCTCCAGTCTGTCCCCATCCCTCCTCTCATCCATGCCTTACTCCTTATCACAGCCCCTGGTAATTCTAGTACCCCTTTCCCATCTTCATCCAGTATCCCTTCAAATACTAGTCCTCTTTTGCACTGAAGTCCCCTTGCCCAGCATGTTTCACTAGCTTTCTTCTGAGGTCCTTCTCCAGCCCAGCTCCTTCCTTCTTTTGCTGAACTCCACTAACCCCAATGTCTTCATCGGAGCTCTCTCCCCTCCCTCCTCCACTCCCCCTGAAACTGCTGGTTCTAGTCTGTCCTAGTCTTCTTGTCCAGCCAGACCAAGGCTCCCCCACACTGCTCATTGTCCAATGTCAGCCCCCACTAACGGTGCTTAGTTCAACTTATTTTCCTTCTCAGCTCCCTATCGCCTTGCCCTGTATAACCCCAGTTTCAAGTCTCACTCTCCCTTCTACCAACCTCCTTTCTCTATTTCATGTTTCCCCACCTGATTATTTGTTCATTTACTTCCCAGCTGCCACAGATTGGTCACTTGTCACTTCTGCCTTGGAACCAGGCAGCTTCCTCCCTTTAGATGCTCTCTTTTCTGCCTCACTAGAAATCCTTTTCATGGCCGTTCCAGTGCTGCATGGTGTTCTGAAGTAATTTTAAAGGAATAGTTCATACAGCCTCACAAGCTCCAGATAATCTAATTCTCTGTAACAGGACACAGAACGAGAGGAAATTCTTGCTTCGCTGGGAGCCATTTCAGAGCACGGAGCACCAAGGTTTCGAGTGCTCAGAGCAGCTCACCACATTCAAGAGATGAGAGGCTGCGTTTCACACCAGCTGCAGTTTCGGGATGGCCTTCAAGTATTGCACCAAGTACAGACAGCTGCAATAGACTGGGCCTTGAGGTTACAAAGGTGTGAACTAGTGTGGTGAGCCTGCGTTAGAGAAGAACAGTTACAGATTCTGGTCCAACCATTAAAAAAAAAATGTTTCCACAGTGAACATCTAAAACAGTAATTTTAAAAGAAAAAATAAATTAACCCCCTATCTCCCAGGACATACCATGGCTGCTTAGATTTGCACTCGAATACTAAGTACTGGGTAGTGTGAAACCCCACGACAGACAAATAGATAGATGCATTTATGTTAAAGATAAAAGTCAAGTGAGGATACAGCTTAAAACAACAAAAATGTGGAATGTTTTCACAAAGGAGACATTTCTCCTGAGAAATGGGCAGTTTTGTTAACTGGGACTAGAAATGACCCTGAAAAAACTCCAGATAATTGTTGACTTTGTATAAGATGCAGGTTTTCTTCAGCAATGCAGAGGCCCTGCATCTCCTCAACAAGGAGCCACCTGATCCTGAAACACGTCCATCAGCGTA